TTAAGATAAAAATCTCTGTAACACTTTGAGTTTCCCAATCATGTTATCAATTAAAAGTATTAATTTAAACAATATTTAATAGTAATTTAAAAATTGTTGTGGTGTAAAATAAGTATTTATTCTTAACCAAATCAGATTATATTAGATAAGTAATGGAAAAATATGAGAACTTTTATTTTTGGAGTTGAGGGTAAAGAAACAGAAAGGTTTTATTTGACGAGAAATTATTTCACTTGGAGTCATTAGCAGTTATAGAAATAATCATCTGTTCACTTCATTTTATGAACTTCTGCCAGTGATTTTGGAATATATCTGTAACTATTAAAGATGTTTTGTACCTAATTTTAAAACAATTGTTGATCTCAACATTAGGCCTGCATGGCAATCCTTTTGTTTATTTTCCTATTTAGTTTTTTCTGGAAAAGTGAAGAAAAAATTGCTCCGAGAAAGCAGCCAACAGAGGCCATTCGTAACATCTGTTAGTGAAATGTTGATATAAAATCCAACACTTTGTTTTCACAAAAAGAGTTATTCAGTACAAGTTTTTAAAAAGTGAATTTTAAGACTAGAAAGAAAGTAGAAGTCTTACAATAAATAGATATTTTTTAATATTAAGATTCAGAATTTTCTATTTAAATAAGTTCTACACAAGTGACCATACATTCTAAATATCTTTACTTAATTTATAAGCAAACCCTTAAATAGAATTAGAGGAAGCAAGAAGAAGAGGTGCTTAGAATCACAGAAATAAACTTATAGGCATCAAGAAATATTACCTGTTCATTAATTTATTAAAATGAATCCCTTTCAATGCTGGGTATATATCCAAAACAAATTAAATCAGCATGTCAAGGAGACATCTGCATTCCCACGTTTACTGTAGCACCATTTACAATAGTCAAGAAATGCAAACAACCCAAGTGTCCGTCAACTGAAGATAAAGAAAATATGGAACATATACACAACAGAATAGTATTCAGCCATAAAAAGCGAACTCTCATTTGTGATAACATGGATGGAACTGGAGGACATTGTTACAAGTGACATTAGTCAGGCACAGAAAGACAAATAACATCTGATCTCACTCATATGTGGAATCTAAAAAAGTTGTTCTTGTGACAAACAGCAGAGGAATGAGACCACCCGAGCAGGCTAGCGGAAGGCAACCAGGCACAGACTTTATTCACCTGGGTGCAGGTCAACAGAAGGCCATCACTGACAAACAAACAAACAAAAAGCAGGGAGCTTTATAGGGGATTGGGGAAGGGGTCTGGCACATCTGTAGTCTGGCACATACAGGGGTTGGAGCAAATATCTGTGGTCAGTGTCCACGCAACAGTCAAGGCAGTATGGAAGTTATCAGGTGACTTGGTGCCAGGAAGATGTCTTCTGTACTTTGTAAACTTATCTGTCTTCTGTAACATCTTGTTCTGTGTTCTATCTGCTTGGAGACAGCACAACCTGCATCTGGGCAGATACAGCACAGCCTGCTTCTGATCTTTAGTCACCCGAAAAAGGGGCATGTTTTTGCTGAGGGCTGCGCTTCCTTGCATCTGCTAAAACTGCAGCTTGGAATTAGACAATGTATCCATTAACCAGGTCATGGCCAGATCAAGCCTAGCAGTTCCCATGGAAGGTGAGACTAGAACGGTGGTCACCAGAGGCTGGCGAGAGCAGAGGAGGGGAAAGGAAAGGGAAAGGTTGCTTAATGGGTATGGAGATGCAGCTAGATAGGAGTAAGAAGTTCTGGTGTACAAACGCACAACATGGTGACTATAGATAAGAGTAATGTGCCAGGTATTTCAAAATGCCAGAAGAAAAGAATTTGGAAGTTGTCATCGTAAAGCAATGATACACATTTGAGGAGACAAATATGTTTAGCCTGAGTTAGACATTACACATATACATTGTATGGTACCCCACTAACATGTACTATTTTTATGTTTTTATATGTCAGATTAAAATAAGTAAATAAAAATATATTCAAAACCAAAAAAAAAAACCCACTCCTTTATAGCTTTGTCAATTCAAATTTTGTAGTGTCTGGGAAACCTTTTTTTTCTGTTCAAATATATGCTTGTCAAATTTATAAGGGAGTAAATACAATCTCTCAAATTCCATGTAGCTTTCCATAGCACTTCTAGTGATTTTTGAAGTATTTAAAGCATTTCTCAAAAGAAATTTTAGCAAGTGAAAAACTGGAATTGAGAAAGAGGGAAAAGATTTTCTCAATGATTCCTGAAACCTACCTCCTAAATTTTCTAATCTCAAATATACTAAAGTTTGGCTCAAATGAGGGAAAGAAATATTCTCAATAGGCAGCATGATGTTTGAAAAGTTCAAAGATATGATGATGTGGAGAGAACAAAGATTTTTCTCCCAACTGGTTTCCAGGGAACATGTCTTCATTGTTTTGTCTAAAATGTGTAAACTAAGTACTTCAAAATCACAAGAACTATCAGCTATAACTAGTACGTCTGTAATTGTACTCATCGACACATTATTATGGGGGAAACAGACTTTTTCCAAAGAGTCTTTTGAGAGTTTCACAGAATAATGTTTTGGAATCATAATTCTTGCAAAAATGTCTAGAGCTTTTGTCACTAAATTTAGGATAATATAAGAACATATAAAGTTCTATCATTTCCTCAATTCACTTCTGAAGATTCTGGCTTGGCCAACATAGTCTTAACCCTTCTTCTGCCCTCTGAAGATTCAGGCTGGGCCTTTGGATGCCACAAAAAATTAGAGGAAGAGGGCAGAAGGTGGGAAAGAAAGATATTAGGGGGAAGAGGGTAGGAGGTTTCAGTAATGCATTGAAGAAGATAAAAAGAACAGCTGGCATATGACTGAATTGTATGGAAAATGGGGAAAAGTTTATTGAAAGAGATTCCTTGGACCCCTTTCATGGTTCTTGAAATATAGAAACAAAAGAATTATTTCTAAATTACTGGTTTTTGGCCCTGACTCCTCTGTAGGATGGGCCGCTGCTTTCCACAGACTTGTTTGCAGCTGTTACTAACAAAGATCAGTTCAGTCCTACATTGTTCACGTCAGCACCAGGGTTACCAGTTTCTCTAGCAAAGATGGGTGCAGTGTAGAGGTACAGAACCTGCGTGCTTAGACCAGGGAGATGGGCATGTGAGAACTACAGACTTTTGAGAGTTTTAATTTCACACTTTAGAGTTTCCGTCCTGCCTTGTAAGGAAGAGGAAAGGAACAAAGAAAACTTCTCCAGAGTAGCACATGTCCTCTAGGAATGATAAAGTCTAATTTGCACGTCGATGTACTATAGAAAAATAAGTTAAAGAAAATGCTGTCTCATATGAAATATTTTTTCTAGGAAATATAACAAAATATCTTTCTTAGTTATGACATTCTGACTCTATAGGAAGTTTCAAACTCCTTGAACTCCTTCTTTGCTTTCTTTTAGTCTATTGTTTTATTTCTATGACTGGTTCTTCAAACTAGCTTAATCAGAAGTGAGGAACAGGAGTGATTTCCATGCCCCACCCTCAGGGACCTTAATTTGCCAATGTCTAGAGATATTTGTAGATGTTGTGATTTGGGAGTGAGTGGTGCTACCAGCATGTAGACATAGAAACCAGGAATACTGCAAAATATTAATGCAGGCACAGAACAGCCTCCTAGCAGGAATGATTAAACCTCCAAGATCAATAGTATCAAGACTGAGAAACCGTGGTCTCCTTGCCTCTGAGATGCCCTAGTCACAGCCTCTTTGCTTCCGCCTTCCTGTTGCACTTCTGAGCCAGTCTGTTGCCTTCACTATAACCAATCTTTCAGCCTCTATTATATGCTTTGGATCAATGGACCATTCCACCTGGCATCTTTGCCCATCAGCTGCCCTTGCTCATAGTTCAGCTTGAGGGAAACTGAGTGTGGTGCCCAGTATAGCACAGTATCGAAATTGACCATGTGGGCTTTGGGTATAGTTTGGCTGAATTCAAACCCAGCTCCACCATTTATTATTTGTATAAATATATATTTTTATATTTTGTATAAAAAATGTGGATCAAAATGACACCCTGAAGGAGAGTTCTTGTAAGAGTTAAACAAGTTAATACTTTCAAAGCACTGGGGATGTTGCCTTATACCTAAGTGCTTTAAACATTAGCTATTATTGTTCCTTCTCAGTAGCCTGCCAAGATCTGCATTCTCCACCTCCCTTCTCCTCACTACCTCAGATCTGAGGAACAGGTATATTTTAGTCAAAATGGTTTGTCATAAATCTTAACCTAAGCCATAAATTTTCCCATTTCCCAGTGACCAGAGTTTTAAAATATGGCAAGGGTTTTGGCTGTCTAGATGCCCTCCTTGAGGAAAGAGTGCTTAGGAAGGTACAAGAGGACAATGTAAAAAAGGACAAATATTTCAAGACATTTTCCTGGATGACACATAATTCTCCATCCATAGATTAGAAACTGATAAGTGAATGGATGAGAGGATGGATACATCACGGGCGTGTGTATGTCTGTGTGCGTGGGTATGGATTTAATCTCAGAGGAGAAACTAGAGCTGAAGATACAGATTTATTACCTTTTGGAAAACAAATGGTAATTGAGTCAGTGTCTGGATAAAATACTATATAGAAAGGAACAGTTAAATCAGAAAAGCAGTTTCTGGATGGATGGATGGACGAACATATGGACAGACACCAATGTTGCATATTAAAGTGAATTAAGGATGTAAGTTCTTGTTTTCAGTAGGGCTGGTGAGAGTGTGTTATCTGTGGTGGGGCCAGAAAACATGCATTGGTTTTTCTTTGGGAAGTGCTTAAAGACCCAAGCCGTGATACATAAAACGGTAGTGACACACCAAGTTTGATTTTCCTATTTTGGTACTTTAAAACCTATGTGTTATGAAGTGCATAAACCTGTTCCCCAACTTAGGCTAGTTTTCCTGAATATTGCATCCCATACAAATATTTTAAGATAGACTCTTGTGCTATTTTAATGATCCTGTCTCTTTTAATCTTTCAGATCATAAGGCCTATTATGGATTATCTGCCCCCAAACGCCATCAAGTGGTCACAGCAATAGAGTACCAAGGTACAGTGTCCTATGATTTTTATGGGCTGCATTGTTTAAATACCTCATGAGAGTGACATATGTGAAACTATATTTCTGTTTGTTGGGATCTTCTGCCTCACCCCACATTATTCACATTAATTCTTTTGCCTGAAATCCTCTATGCTGATTCCATCTTGACAACTCTTTCTTCATATCAGTAGAAATTTTGGACAATCAATAAAAGACTAAATATACACCGGTCTCCTCTTATGTAAAGTATCTGCCATGAAGAAAATCTAATTTGTGAAACAGGGAGATAGAGATCTTAAAAAGTTTCTAGTTAGTTAAAGATGGTAAATAGAAATAATACCTCAACCCCACTCTAAGCATTTGAGGTGACATTAATGTATCCTAATTTGAACTGGCAGTTGTAGCACCTTAAAAATACTTTTAAGAAGGTTTGTTAATGAGTATAAACTTTAAGTTTTGTAAGCTGAAACAATTCTGGAAATTGTTAAATGCACAACAGTGTGAATATACTTAACATTATTTAAAAATGATTAAGATGATAAATTTTAGTTATATATATTTTGCCACAGTTAATAAAAGTAGCTGGGCACGGTGGCACATGCCTGTAATCTCAGCACTGGGGAGGCTGAGGCAGGAGGATCACCACAAGTTTGAGGCCAGCTTGGGCTACACAATGAGTTCAAGGCCAGCAAGATCCTGTCTCAAAAAACAGAAGCAACCAAAAAAATTATTGAAGGAAACTAATGAACAAAAAAGTAGTGCTTAAAGGCTCTTACGAGTTTACTTCAAATATTGACATCCTTTTCCAAAAGATCCTTTACTTAGACTACAATTAATAATACATAGTTACCAGGATAATTGTCATTCCTTAAATATAATGCTTATTTAGGCTGGAGATTGTAAATTTTTAATAACCAGGTCCCATGGCTGGGGATGGTGGCACACTCTGGGAGTCTGAGGCCAAAGTTCAAGCTCAGCCAGGACAAACAAACGTCTGAGTTTTCATCTTCAAATATGTTTTCAGTTCCCAGAGTTAGGCTAATAGGTTTGAAAGAAAGAGACAAAGATTAAAGAAGACTGATGCAGGGAATTAAACAAGTTAATATTCATACAGTTCTTACAGTTGGGCCTAGTACACAGTAAGTGCTACGTGTGTTCCTTAGGTAAATCTATGTTAAAATAAGAATGAGTCCATCACTCAAAAATGACAAATCACTGCATAATAAATCACTTAAATCATTATTTAGGTTAACTAGGTCCTTTGAAGTTCTGATAGTTTATATGATTTAGCTAATGAGACACATTCTATTGTGGGTTAGCTTTCAATGAGGAGAGGTGGGAAGAGGAGATTAACATTTGGGAGTAATTTGGACTGTGAAGTACTTAACGGGAGGATAAACAGGGCTGGGCCAGATCCCAGAAAGGAGCCTGGAAAGGCTAAAAGAATGAGCACAGTAGGAGAGGAAAATGGAACAGAATGTCCCTGAGGGACACAGGAAGTGAAGAACTTTCCTACTTTTCACTGGAGGTTCAGTAGCTGGGTCCGGCTGGGTGTACATCCCTCTGCACCGTCAGGTCTGAATTAGGATATCAAAATGATATTCTTTAGTCTCACATTACTTTAAAAACATATTGAGGTAAAATTCACATTACATAAAATCTATCATTTTAAAATGAACAATTTAGCGGCATTCAGTGTATTCACCACATTATGCAACCGGCACTTCTACCTACTTCCAGAACATTTCTACCACTCCAAAATGAAACCTTCTACCTAGTTACATTACTTTTAAACACGTTTTATTTTTAATGTAGAAAGTTCTCTGTAATTTATTGCAATCAAATCTTAGTCTCAGGGCTGGGGATATAGCTCAATAGTAGAGTACATGCTTAGCACGTTCAAGGACCTGGGTCTAATCCCCAGTCACTTCAAAAAAAAAGTTGGTCCCCCTCCAAAATAAGTGTTTGCTATTTTCTTGTTTAATCTCTCTGCTTTTTAATTGAAAATTTCAGTTTAATTCCAATTTATTTGTGCCCACCTATTCCAACTTGACTCTCCATAAAGCAAAAATAAATTTTTACCTTCTTTCGTATTTTACTTTTAGGATATTTTTCACAGTAACTTAATTCTGCTTAAAGTGTATAATATTTTGTGATTTGTATATTTACGTACATGTGTTCTACTCGTTTCATGCAGTTGTTAGTCTCTTGTTTCTCCGAGGTCAAAACTGTGTGAATTAATTCCTTCATTTCAGTGCTGCTGGTCTGTATCACCTCCCGGGGGGAGCAAAGGCTTCAGGACAGCTCTGCCAGGCTTGCAAATGACATGAACAGCCCGGCACAGGGTGTCCAACCCCGAAAACTGTTCATCAGAGTTTGCTTAATAGCAAGCATTTCTTTCCAGAAGTAATTTCTGCTAATTCTTCAGAACTGCTTTGGTAGGATCAATTCTTTTCCTGTTATGCAGCATTTTTAACTTGCACACAGAGACTAAAATCAAAAGATAGCAGTACAGAATCCTAGAAAGATTAAAATTCAGAATGATTCTCTTATTCCTACAAGGGATTATTTTGCTACATGCTCCTACTTATGCTTTTTCTAAATGATTATCTTCTCGCAGTCTAAATGACACAGATGTTTTCTCAATGAATTAATCACCTTAATCGAAAAAACTTGGCACATTTTTGTTTTAATATGCCTGTGTTGAGAACATAATGAACTGAGTTGATATTTTCTTTGATGTTTAAAACAGGTAACATTTTAATTCAAATTTGAGATTTATAAGTAAATTTGTGGTAGTGTAAAGTACAGGTTTCTATCAAATTTGTAATCAAAGAGAAGTTCCCCATGGGTGAAAATACTAATAACCATTTCTGGAGCATATACTGTGTACAAGATAGCATGTGCACCAAAATTGTTCATCATCTCATTTAATCTTTATAACAACTGTGTAGGATGAGTACTATTATTTTACCATTGTTTGAATTTGGATATAATGTTTAAAAAAGGAAAGTAATTTTCCCTTTATCACATACCCAGTGTATGGCAGAGGCCTGACTCCAAACCCCGTGCTGTGGATTGCCATGTTATGTCATAATACCCATGAAGCTAGATCAGGATACTATGCTGGCTGTGAGTGTTGAATTTTGGCTAAAGAGATAAAGAAGTCCGTGAGAGTTCACTTCTTGGTTCACTTGACTCTTTTATCCTCATGTTGCCCCCATGATTCCAGTATTTTTATTATCTGTATTCATTTCCTATGGTTGCCATAACAAAATACTGCAAACTAGGTAGATTAAAATAACAAAGATTTATTCTCTCACAGTTCTGGAGGCAAAAAGTTCAAGATACTGGCACCCTCAGTTCTAGGTTCTGGCTGTTCCCTTACTGTGGACACTCTCAAAGAACCATATGACATACTACCCTGTTTTTTTAAATTACACCCTCGTTCCCAGCACTGCCCAATCTCACACTCTCTGCTGTACTGTCCTCACCCCCACAGCCCTCATCACCTTCTAAGGTACTGTAGGGTTCACTTTATGGTGTCGCTGTTTGCCTGACTTCCCCAGTTAGATTGTAAAATCCCAAAGGGCAGGAGTTCTTTGCTATGTTCATTGGTATAGCGCTAGAACAATGTCAGACATATGGTAAATATTTAACATACTTTGGAAAAATTAGGTAGGCCATTTCTCCACATTTCACATGGTCCGAGTGAGAGAGAAGAAGGGCTGGACTAAAGTTACTGGGTGGAGGAAAATCGTTGGTTACAATTTCTAATATAATTTCCTCAGAGTTTTCCCCACAGAACAGTAAGGACACAAATCATGAAGAATTTACCAAGATGGGTGTGTGGGGTAGGTGTGTTTGTGCATGTGCATTTGCTTGTGTGTGTGTGTGTATGTGTGTCAAAACATACATGAAACAATGTGATTGAGTATAAAATCATTCCTAAGATGTAGGAATAAGACATGGAGAATGAGCAAAAAATGAGTGTGGGTGTGGGTTTAATTGTTGGGAAAGTCAACAAAATACGGGAAGGAAACCTATCTAAAACTCAAGATCCGGAAGGTCACCACCCATTCTCCTTAATCAACAGAGCAGAACTGTGTTTCCTCAGACAGGTCCCTTAGCACACATTTGTCTTTGTAGCGTAGCTGTAAACACCTCTGTAAGATGATATTTCTTTGTGATGTAAAACCTGTTTTAGAAACTTTAAACATCCTTCAAAATGACTTTTGATTCTTTTTTTTCTTGCCTTTCTTTTCTCTGCCCTATTTTCTACTACTTTTTATTCTATTTCTTTATTTCTAGTAATGAGTGTATTTAAAAATAATAGAAACTATGTATAAAAAAAAGAAAACAATCACAGTTCTCTCCCAGAGAAATCGTGACCGGGTTACAATTTTCAGGCATACAAATACTTCCAGGCTTTTGGCAACTGATCAATGTGTGTATCTTTAATAAAGTCTGGGATATATTTTTATTTTGTTCTATTTTGGTTTTGGTACCTGGGATCAAACTCGGGTCCTTGCACTTGCAAGGCAGGTGGCGGCACCACTGAGCTAAATCCCCGGCCCCTAGGATAATATTTTTAAACAGCGCTAAATTCGCTTACTGTCAAAATCAAAGTTATGGAAAAGATCTTAATGTAATTTGTCTTCTAATCAAAGACAACTTGCTTTTTTACAGTCAAATAATTTGCCCTGTGGGAACAAAATCTCTCAGAATTATGAATTTGACATTTAGAGAGCCTGGTTGAAACATACCTTGAAAATATTTCCAACTGTAGGTTTCTTTTATCAACTAAGCTGTTTGCAGACCAGCACTAAATTTTCCTCCTCTCAGTCATCTTGTTTGATCAGTTGAAAGACATGGCTCCTTAAGAGGCTCCATGAATTCTTCAATGATGCAATTGCAGTAGATTTCCTATAATTAAATGAACTGAACCTCATTGAGATTGTTAAGTTTGATGCCAAGATTAAATCTTTTAATAGTTTATTTGCTTTGAGGCAAGGTTATAGGGAGTCATCTGAATGTACAAATCAACTATCTGTTAGAGGCCCACATTGGGTTTATATTAATATAATTGTAGAGAAAATCAGCAAAGAAGGTATCCAAGTGACAGTGAGCCTGCTGGGGAAATTTCTCTGGGTTCCCCTAGTAGCATGGCTTGGCCTGGACTAAGCGCCTTTTGTGTGGTGCCCACCTACCTCCCCAGGCCTCTGTCCTGGTACTCATCAGTGTTGGACTGAAATGATATTACCTTATTTGCCTCTTATACCAGACTGTGACTCCTTCAAGGCTGATACTGGGAATAATAAAAAATTAATTGTAGCTCCCAATTGTTGAGTCATTATATTTAGGCCTGTGTGCTCTACATATATTATTGTGTTTGAAGACTCACAACTCTAAGAGGCACCATGCCATTTTACTGATGGAAAGTCAGGCTCAATAACTAGAGAAAGCAGAACAGTGTCACATAATTATGATATGGAAAAGTTGTGATACTTCTAGTTCTTTTTTGGGCTGAGCCAACATGGTACCACTTGATGTAAGTTATGAATGAATGAATAAGTGAGTTGAATGAGTAGACACGTAAAGGAGCAACTTAAAGATGTTTAAAATTTATTAATTTAGCACAATATAAATTAAAAGGGACAGATAGAAAACAAATATTTTTGTTGTTGTTCTTAGAGGCGATTTTAGCCTGTAAAAACCCTAAGAAGCCCATTTCCTCCAGATTGGAGTGGAAGAAACTGGGACGGAGTGTCTCCTTTGTCTACTATCAGCAGGCTTTCCAAGGTAAGAAGCTGAAGACTTGATGGGATGAAAACAAGAGAATTCCAAGTACAGCCTCCTCGGTCATTTAATAGATAAGAACAAGACATGATTGGTTACTGAAAAAGTGTTTTTGTAAGTGTGAGGTGAAACCAACAGTATCTGAACTAAAACACAACAGCCACAGAAACAGAGGCCAGAGAAGAGAAGTAAGTGCATCCCATTGGGCCTCTGGACCCTTCATGTCTCGGCTCAGGCCTAAAAGATGCAAAATGCAATTGTTTTCACTGGCCTGATAGATTAAACTCTTGAGAAAAAGGAGGGGAAAATGGTGAGTTTGAGATGGAAGATTGCTGCCACCACTGAGATGCTCAGGGAGTTAGGACCTAAGGACAAGTAATTACAGTGACCATTAGCAAGGGTTTTATATTTATTATACATTTCTTTCCACTTTCTACTCTTCCTGTTGAATATGCAGTGTGGTTTCAATTACAAATGTGATAACAGTGGATGAAATGTTACAATATTAGTGTGCTTAAAAATTATCCAGTGGTTAAGGGTACCAATAAAATAAGATAGAACATACAGTGATTACTGTTGACAGCTTGAAAATGAGTATACTGAGGTTTATGTGCATCTATTCTCTTATTAGATGTTTGAATTTTTCCATTATAAATATTTTTATGTAAATACAATTTAACAAGGATAATAAGCATGTTATTTTAAAATACTATATATTATTTACTTTTAAAGAACTAAAGGGAAATATCTTTACAGTCCATAGAAAATTTAAAATATCCATTCAGGTTCTTATGTCTCAAGATAAGACTATAGGCTGTAAAGTGCTAATAGCACAGTCCTCTTCACTTGAATTTTCTGTAGTTTCCAATCTTAGCATGTGCATGTTACACAACTGTACTTTAATTCCATACACATTATTATAAAAACTAAAACCAGAAGAATGTTTGGGGGGGGGGTACTGGGGATCAAACTTGGGTCCTTGCGCTTGCGCAGCAGGTAGCGAAACCACTGAGCTAACCCGGCCCTAGAAGAATGTTTTTAAGACAGCCCCTCTCCACTCCTAACCCTTTTCCTCTCTAGTATTGTCATGGAGACCACCACACACAAAGTTACCACTCTGGCCGGTTAAACCGGGCTTGCCAGTGCTTTTTGAAAGCAAGAATATTGCTAGGTCTGAAGAAAATGATAAGACACACAATTGGGTTGAGTTTTTAAAAAATAGATATGGGAATGTGAAATTATTCTTTTAAAAAGACTTTTTAAAGTAATTATATAGATATAGATAGGTAGACATGTGCACTGCCTCATCCCTTTGCTGTTTTTTAAAAACAGAATCTCTCTAATCACTAAGTTATCCAGGCTGGGCTGGATCTTGCATTCCTCCTGCCTCAGCCTCTGAGTGCTGTAATCACAAGCATACATCACCATGCTCAGCAATTGAAGGTTTAAAATTGAGTTTACCAGGAGGAAAACGAATGCTTAGTTATTAGAACGCCTTGTGGGAGATATTCCATGGAAAGTTATTTCTATTATTATCTTCTTTTTCTGAAGGTGATTTGAAAGATCGAGCTGAGATAATAGATTTCAGTATCCGGATCAAAAATGTCACAAGAAAGGATGCTGGGAAATATCGTTGTGAAATTAGTGCCCCGTCTGAGCAAGGCCAAAACCTGGCAGAGGATACACTCATTCTGGAAGTATTAGGTAAAGTACATGTATATGTGGTGCCACTGCCCCCGCCCTGTCTTCACCCCCAGCCCGTGGACACACCAGCACTAACTAGGACCCCAGCCAATAAAGCTGCAGGAACAAGATCTAGAGTGTTTCTTCCTACCATCTTATTATGTGTGCTGAAATGTTATTCTTGCTAACTCATTATCAGAAAACCTTTCCTTAAGATTGATGTAATTCCTAGTGGTCTTACTGTGTCCATAGGAGCATTTTCCTCAATATTTCACTTTTTAATAGCTTTCAGTATAACATACTTTTTCTCCTATCATCTAAAATGGTATCGCATGATAGGAAAACAAAACAAACCTACAGAGTAGACCATGGGAAGGATTAAAAGGTATTTGTTTAAAAAATTAGCATTTATTTTGCAGCTAGTGTGTGTTAGGACCTTTACCTGTATAACTTTACTTCATTTTCACCGACAACCTGATTTTCATAGATGAAGAAATAGACATTAAATTATATGGATCCGGATGGGGTAGCTGCAAACCTGGTATGTGTAATTGCTACAAGAATCGCGACAGAGAGGATTGGGTAATCAGTAGAGGAACATGATCTCTTCTCCTTCATTAGCATTAGCATAAACTGCCAAGTAAAGGAAAGAAAATAATTCCTTTTCCCTTGTTCATGTTGTCCAGACATTCCTTGAAATACTAGTAAAGCACTAGTATAAACAAAATATAATTCAGGAAACTTAGCAGCAGATTCAGCTGGTACATTCATTTTCTGTTGCTGTGTAACAAAGTATTACAAGTTCAGCAGCTTGAAAGAACACTTGCTTGCTAACTTACTGTTCTACATATCAGAAGTCCAGCAATCAGGCCGGGTTCTACTCAGGACATCACAGAGTTGAAGTCAGGTGTTGGATGGGCTGAATTCTTGGCCCAAGGCTCTGGGGAAAATCCATTTCTAGGCTCATTCTTGGTATTGGGAGATTTTACTTCCTTGTGTTTGTAGGACTGAGATCCCATTCCATGCTGTTTACCAGCTGGTGGGCACAATCAGTTCTTAGAGGCCACTCACATGTACCTTACCACTTTGCTTTACTTTTCAAGTCCCTGAGAGCAGAATAATTAATTCCTGGAGTCAATACTTTCCAACTTGGTCAGGTATAGACAGAATAGGATTTTGGTTTGGTACCATCCCTAAAAGTATCCTCACATTTGACTTCTTTTGAACGCAGTTGACAAGAACCATTAAAACTATTGGTGAAGAAAACAGTTGAGATAAAAGAAAAAGAATAACAGTTGTACTGGGTAAGATAATGTTTGCTATTACAGCAGATAAGCCTTGAACTCTCAGTGAATGGCTTCATATGATAGAAGTTTCATTTTCAATTAAGTAAAGCCTAAATAGCTGGGACAGGGCTGGTAGTGGAGCAATATTACTCTACTTCATGAGATTATTACAGACTCAGCCTAATGTAGGTCTGATATTTCAATCCATGGCCTTCCAAGATTACTGTGGGTGTTAACAGCTACTTGGTAGTGGGAAGGGACAGGGGAATGAATGAATGGACAATCATGAAGGGACTTTTTATAGGTCAGGCTTGGGAATGGCTATATCACATTTACCCAGTTCTGTTGCCCAGTATTCATGCATATGACCCCCACTCAGCAGCAAGGGGCTATTGTGGTCTACTATGTCCCTAAGAAGGAGGGAAATGGATCTGTTGAACTGGTGCCGTCTCTATTGCAGGTGTCCTGTAAGCACATCTTTACTGGATATTAAAACTCATATTTAGCTTTCCAGTAACCGACTATTTGACTTCCTTTGTCCAGTGGCTCCAGCAGTTCCATCATGTGAAATACCTTCTTTTGCTCTGAGTGGAAGTGTGGTTGAGCTACTATGTCAAGATAAGGAAGGTAATCCAGCTCCTGAATACATATGGTTTAAGGATGGCAGTCGTTTGCTAGAGAATCGAAAACTTGACTCCCGGAGCACCAACAGTTCATACACAATGAATACAAAGTCTGGTACTCTGGTAAGTTCATTTCAAGTTTTGGCCTAATAACTGGCATTTGGATGAAAAGATTATTAGAGCTTGAAATGGTGGAGAACAGGGTACTGATGCCATTGTGTGCTAAGTGGAGAGAGGAGGAATAGAAGGAAAGATGTTGGTACTGGTACAGAGATGTGATGGGAAGGGCTGCAATGTGAGGTGGAAGACAGGACAGGAAACCACAGAGCTGAATGTGCAGGGGTCCAGCCGGGCATCAGAGGCAGGCCGCACCTGGTTTATGATGATGGATCAAGAAGGTCTCTACAGCTACCTTTCTGGCTTGGCAAAGTAGTAAGTGCCATCTCAACAACACCAGGGAGACACATGAAAGCTCACTCGAGGATACTGGAGCCCAGTGCTCACCAGGTGACAATAGTGACCAGCAAACCTATGGGCCATGGTAGGATGCCTCTGTCATTACATTTTTCCATGACTCTAGATTGTCAGCAGTTGCTTCTGTGATTTAAATTTAGTCTAGATTTTCTTATTATTTCCTCCTTGAAAATATTACTTATGGGAGCCTATAAATCAGCCCTTTTTTTCCCTTCAGTACTGAAGCTTGTACCCAGGGCCTTTATACTGATCTATATCCCAGCCCTTTTTAGTTTTTGAGATAGGGTCTCACTAAATTGCCCAAACCGAGTCTAAACATGGGATCCTCCTGCGTCAGACACCCAGAGCGCTAGGATTACTGGTGTGAACCACTACACCTGGCTTACATCAGCTCTTTAAAGCTAATGATATTTTAAGATTAAAAAACTATTTTTATTTTTTTTCTTTTGCGACTTTTTGGGGGTAGAGGTGGGTGTGAAAAAAGAGGCCATTGAGTTTGAAGCTTTTGGGTCAATTTAAAAATATCTAATTTCCAGCAAGAAGAAAACTAATGTGGGAGAACCACTGCTACAACCATTATTTAAAGGTAAAGCAATACTGGAATAACAATTTTAATGGATTTTTGAAAGGAGTGAGTAATGGGTCCTTTCATTCCCTTTATTAATGTAAAATAACATTAAAAACTAGACCTCCTAATCAGACATGGTGGTGCACAGCTGTGATCCCAGCACTCAGAGAGGCTGAGGCAGGAAGACTGCACAATCAAGACCCTTTTTCAAAGAAATAAAAAGGTCTGATGATGTAGGTCAGTGTGATTTCATTGGGTTCCATCCCCAGTACCGCAGAACCCCCACAAAAAATTTAAAAATGTGATCTTCTGAGTGGAAACAAAGTCTTTGTAAATAGGGAAGGATGGAGGGGTTGAAGGGAGGGCAGGAGAATGGCGAAAAAATAAGAACCAAGAGAATATGTAAAGGTTCAAATTTCCAATAAAAAATTAGATCTTCTGATACATAATAAGTCCATTGATGCAGTAGCAGAATAAGACAGCTTCCGGAAGATAGGGCTACCTGGAATAAGGCCATGCATTGGCCCTTCAGCAGTCAGCAGCAGCAGTCAGCAGGTCCGAGTGATTTTACACTGAGAAACTGGGCAGAAAACCTGCCGTCACACTCTGCTATATTTACTTTTCCTTTTTTTTTTTTCTCAGAGTAGGTGATAAAAGCCTAAGGCACATCTGAGATGGTACAGATTCACTTCCCTCAGCGAGCCTCCGCCTTGAAACGCCTTGTAAGGTCAAAGGTGTGCACTGAGGCGAAGGAGCATAGGTTCCTTGGTGAGGGCTCCAGTGTATGGATGCCAGGGACTTCTTACTTGCCAGTTGTAATGGGCTGGAAGATCGTCTAGGGTTTTGGTCCAACTTGCTGTTTATCTGTTACCTCAGCCCTGAGTTTATGGTGGATACTGTAATAGTACTCTGGCTTTGTGGGGAAGGAGAGATGGTTTCACAGAGCGAAAACAACCAGGAAAGGTTTTCTACCAAACCATGCTGAAGTACACAGAAAGGTGGGGGAGGTAGGTAGAGGGCAAAGAAAAGTGAAAGAGGAAAAGAAGTTAGTTAGATCAAAGCCCTGACTATTTTAGAAACATATGTTTGGGGGGATCCAATGCAATGAGGACATGCTCCTCAGAAGTTCATGGCTGGCACGGATGAGGTCAGCTGTGACTGCTGTGGAACTGAGAACGTGACCAGGAGAGAAGTGAAAGAAGGTCCCTGAGCATCCCTCTCAGCCTCTGGTTGTGGCAGGAACCTTCAAGGTGGCCAGGCCTGAATTCCCTCCCTCCATTCCTCTCCTCTTTCTTTCCCTCCTCCCTCCCTCCCTTTCCTTCTTTCTTCCCTTTCTATCTGAATTCACTCTTTCCAGAAATTCTCCAAGGGGACAAAAGTAGTGGTACCAGTGAGGAATTCTATTATATCGAGGTTTTACCTTTAATTTGCTTTGGCAGGGAGTAGAAGGAGCAAGTGCTGGACTTTATCTTTTCAGAATTTAAAAAAATTCTGGCCTTGATACAATTTATAATCCTATAAATGATACCGATTAAGATCTCCTAGAGAAAGTATTATTTGCTGCTGTAGTGAACTTGTTTTTGACTTACCAAAGTACGTTAACCCTTGCCATCAGGAGGCTTTCATTTATAAACAGAGCTTCTCTAGGAATGAGAAATACCGGGACTGGGTAGGATTAGGGGGAGGGGAAAAGAAACTTCCCCTTATTTATATCTTTTCTGTCAAATTAAACAGGAGGTCTAGCTCTTTACTAGTTAAAGTCATGGTAGATTTTTGAGTTCACAATAAAGAAGTCCTGACTTGTTAAAAAGTAAAAACCAACTAATTGATAAATTTCAAAGGACATGGTAATTTTAGCAGCTTACTCAGAGGTTTATTATTTTAAAATGCTTTTACTGTTTCTTCTACAAATAGAAATTTAACACTGTGTCCAGGCTGGACAGTGGAGAATATTCCTGTGAAGCCCGTAACTCTGTTGGATCTCGCAGGTGCCCCCAGAAACGAATGCAAGTAGGTAAGCATGAAATATTGGAAGAACAAATGGTTTTCAATTAGAGTGTGCATGTATTTGGAAGAAGCAGTGGAAAGGAAAAGTTTGAGTAATTTGAAGGATAAATAGAAAAGAATATTTTAAATTAGCTCGATAGTGTGAAGGAGCAGCTATTATGCTTTTAATCCATTTTCCAATGAACCTAAGAATATTTAGCATCACGGTTAACACATTTTTAAATTTTTTAAATTAGGATTTTTACAATATGAAATTCTGAGTAATCTTTCAAACAAAAACTAAATACCTTATAATGTGTAAATTGCTGAGGGTCCAGGAGTCTGAGTGGACATTTCATTTACATCTCTGCCATTTACTAGCTACATCCCCTTAGGCAAGCTATTCAACTTCTATGTCTCAGTAACCCCAAACTGCAAGTAATAATATACCTCCCTCCTAGAGTTGCTTCAAAGGTTAAAATAATCAATTTTTGCAAGTGTCAGAACTGCACCGTTACATTTATGAGCATTATACACCTATTAGCTATCTCAGTTGTTGTTATCCAGTTGTTACTGACAGCTTTTTCAATATTCTGAAATAATAAACCTATACTTATCCTGAAAAAAGACATGTGGAATAGTTATTTGTCTAGGTTGCTATAAAACATATCTGCCATGTATTATATTTATTTCACAAAATGAGCTTCTTAGAATCCAACAAAATCAGAGTTTAAGAGGATTTTCTAGGTTATATCCATTTCATATTATTTCTTTTTCAAAATTCATTTTTAATAATTTGACTTCATTATTCCTTTTGGTGCAAAGCCATGTGTTTTGAATATAGTTGTAGAATGAGAGAGATGCGATGGAAATGGCACCTGAGGGGCTAATGTCACTGTACCCCAAAACAGAATTCTGAGGATGCTCTTCGTTTCGGGAGCCCGTCTTCAGCTTTGTGGGGTCAGAAATTCATATTTTCAATGCACTTAGAGGACTATGGATATAGGTGCACAAATATGCCATATCTATTTCTATTTTAGGATTATTTTTTTAAAAATACAATTGTATTAAATGTCAAGATATCCTACAGTATGAGATACTCAATATATATTCTTTTTTTTTTTTTTTTTTTTGGTACCGGGGATCAAACTTGGGACCTTGTGCTTGCAAGGCAGGCACTGGAACCACTGAGCTAAATCCCCGGCCCCTCTCAATATATATTCTAATTTCCATGCATAAGTTTGAGTTTCTGGTCTTTTCTTTTAAAAATTCAGGTATACAGGACAATTGATATTGTCCACCAAACCTGCTGACATTTATACTCACATATAAGCAGTTAATTAAATAACCAAAAAGTATTCCTCTCAGATCTAAGTATTAAAACAGAAACACTTAATCTACTGGAAGACAAATTAGGCAAAACTCTTGAAGGGATAGGCATAGGCACAGCTTTCTGAACAGAACCTCAGTTACACAAAAAATAATACCAAGAATCAACAAATGGGATCACATCAAATTAAAAATATTTTTGCACAGCAAAGGGAACCACCAACAGAGTGAAGAGATTACCTACAGAATAGGGAAAAAAATTTACCAGCTACTCCTCAGATAAACATCACTGGCCATTCAAGAAACGCAAATTAAAACAACATTGAAATTCCATCTCCACAAAGAATGGCTACTATCAAGAAATCAAACAATAACAAATGCTGGAGAGGGTGTGGGGCAGGGAGAGGAACCTTTCTTCATTGTTGGTGGGAGTGTAAACTGATATAACCACTATGGAAATCAGTATGGAAATGCCCTAAAAAAACTAAAACTAGAAATTTTATTTGACTTAACTACTCCACTTCTTGGTATTTTTTCCAAAAAAGGTAAAGACATTATCTTATAGTGATGTATGTATACCCATGTTTATAATGGCACAATTCATAGCAGCTAAATCTTGGAAGCAGCCTATATGTCCCTCAACAGATGAATGGATAATGAAAATGTGGTATTTATACATAATGAAGTACTACTTTGCCATAAAGGACAAACTTAAAGCTGGGCATGATGGTGCATGCCTGTAATCCCAGCTCCTGGGAGGTTGAGGGAGGAGGATTGCAGTGAGTTTGAGGCAAGCCTAAATTACATAGTGAGTTCAAGGCCAGCCTGGAATAGCAACACCATCTCCAAAAGAAAAAAATACAAGATAAACTCAAGTCATTTGTAGGAAAATGGATGTACCTTGAGACCATAACGCTAAATGAAGTAGATGGGACACACAAGCTTAAATATCATGTTTTCTCTTGTATGAGAAACACAATATATAAACAAAGTGCAAACTAAAAGATAGACAATAGGAAAAAAAAGAGGAAAAAAGTTATTGTAATCAAGCATGGTCAATGTATCTAAAAGAATACCTTGATTTAATATAATTATCTTATGCATTTTATATGTTTTTGGCCTATTAATCTGGATATTAATCTGTATTGTTGTAACTAACTTGATAAGGACTTATAAATTAGTGAATCTGGGGCCGGGCATTTAGCTCAGTGGTTTCGCCACCTGCCTCGCAAGCCCACAGACCCGAGCTTGATCCTCAGTACCAAAATAAATAAATAAATAAATAAATAAATAAATATCAACAACAACAAATTAGCGAATCTGATGGTGGCAAAAAATATTTTTTAAAGGGTGGATGGAGGGGAAGGGGAAAAAAAAGACTGAGATGTGTTATGTACATGTGCCAGTTCCCCACAATGAATGCAATTACTAGGTACAGCAAACATGTACTAATCAAAATGAAATTTTTTTAAAAAATAATAAATCATTTAGTATAGGATCTTGCAATCTCAAAATGGTTTGTGTAATTGCTTACATTATGGTTTGGGGCTTCCTTTCATGTCAAAATGGACCTCCAGTGAATTGAATAAACTTGTTCCTTACAGCAAAGAAAACAAAACCAGGGCTGGGGATTTAGCTCAGTGGTTCCACCACCTGCTGCACAAGCGCAAGGACCTGAGTTCAATCCCTGGTACGAAAAAAAAAAAAAGAAAACAAAACAAAACCGAAATCAAAACAAAACAAAAAATCCCTCTCAATACTGCTTTCAAATTATCATTTTTAAAATGTATTAGCACATGTCTGAACATGTATGCATTAATGAAGTGTTTTTCCAACTTCATTTATTTACATACTATCTTCATGATTTTCAGCTAATCTTATACCACTGCAGTATTTCTAATTCCCTTTCTGTTTTAATTGTTCTGCTAAATTTAAATGCCTACTTTAATTTCATCTTAAGAAATCGTATCTGTGAGGTCATAGTTTTTTGTTTTTATTTTTGTTTTTGTTTTTTCCAGTACCAGGGATCGATCTCAGGACCTTGTGCTTGCAAGGCAGGCCCAGCACCACTGAACTAAATCCCCAGCCCTGAGCTCATAGTTTTGATGTAACAGTTTCTTTTTTTCCTAGTACATCACACTAAATAAACCACACCAAATAAAATGTGTAAGTTTGTATACTTGTATTTATAAA